GCTGCTGCTGCTGCTGCTGCTGCTGCTGCTGCTGCTGCTGCTGCTGCAAGAGGCTTGCTGCTGCTAGGAGTACAAGGCAGAGCATGAGGAACTGCTGCTACTTGGCAGTCATTGTAACTGCTCTTTCTTAAGAATAGCTAACATGTTTTTTCAAAGTATTGAATTACCTCGAGACTTCATAATTATTACAGTTAAGCAATCATTTCAATTCTGTCCAAGTATAAAAACTAATAAAGTACCTGTAAGATGGAGACAGTTTTAGTGTGTCTGTTCCCTGAACAAACACAGCTGATTCAGTGCATTTTGGTGGAATAAATGTTTGGTATCCTGTTATTTTAATATGCCCTAATCAGAAAATTAAAATAGCTTTTGTTGGCACAAACCCTTTTTAAAGGTGATATAATTAGAGATTTTTGCTGATGCCATTAATTTTCAAGACTTTAATACGACATAAGCGAGCAGTTGAGTAGGGAAAATATTTGCATTTAATACTGCAAAATCTCTTTGCTTTCATAAAGCCGATGGCTTGATCAATGTAAAAAGCATATTTGGAAAGAAATGTATCAGTTTATATATATAGTAACTACATACCTATAGCATCAAAGCTATTAAGAGCACTAATCTAATGAGAGCTGATCTCCAGTTACTACTGGGAACTGCTGCTCAGTTTTGGAGAGGGAGATGCAGGATTAATAACGTTCAAAAATGGGTTGACTCTGTCCAAAGTCAAAGGAAGCTTTTTTTTAATGCTAATTTTGTAAGCAATGGCAGAGCATCCATGTTGTGAGCTGTGCTACGTAGCTGGCTAAGTGGTGTTGTTGGCTTTGTTGCAGAATAGGTTTGCACACTGACATGTAAAAGAAAAATACCCACTTTTCTACTTTGAGAATAAAGCAATTCTTCACATTAACTTCATAGGGATGCAGTGATCATGGGACTTTTATTTTTTCATTGTCAGCATTCAAAAGTTATGTTAGCTGAACTGAATCAAGACTTCTTTTTTCTAGTAAAAATCAGCTACTGCTGTTCCACAAATTCCAAACATACAGCTTTCACCCTCATATGTAACCTTCATTTAATACCAAAGCCAGCAGGTGCTCTGTGGTAGAAGAAGTGCTGGGGAAGGGGACGCTGAAGTGCTGAGAGTAGAAGGGATTTGCCCTTCATCACCTAAATACTGTACTTTAAAGGTGGAAGTCCAAGGCCTCTTCATTCCCTTGCAGGCTGTTTTCCTTCTTTTACTTCAAATTCCAATTAAAATTCTCCACTTCTACAATATCAGGGCTATGGGATTTTGTTGAGTTTTGCCATTATTACTCCTCTAAAATGGGTTCAGCATTATCTGTGGGATTGTGACTGGGTTACTAGATGAAACTTTCAGTTACCATGGGTACGTTGCTATTGCATTCCTCTTTGAGGTCCTGTTGTTCCTGCTTCCCTCCCCTCCCCCCCCCCAATGTTTATGTATCCTGTTTTAAAGGATGCCAACTCTGTTTCCTTTCTGTTTTGCTGTTACTTCAGCTCAGCAAAGCCCATTTACAACTGTGGTATTGATAAAGAGAAGAAAACATTAATATATAATGAATATAGATTAATATATAAAGAATATATAAAAGGTTTATAAAAGGAAGAAAGAAAAACTCAAAACTTTTATCTCAATGAAACTTACAGCTCTCATCCAGTAGTATTTGTGTTTTATGGAGGGGAAACATTTCTTACATGTTTCTTCTCTCTAACTTTTCTGTGTACCATAGCACTTCCCACCGCTTCCCTCGTGCTCTTGACCTGTGCTTTTATCATGGCTATGATCACACGCAGAAGAAGCTTCAGTGAGGACGTGGTGAGAGGGAAGCAGGAAAGCTTGCAGGCTTTCAATTCCTGCTAGGTTCTAAATCCTGCTCCATAAGCTGCTTAATAAATCAAATAGGTTATATGGTAACAAGTATCGAATGGGACTGGGAGAAGAGTTGGTGAGAATGCCTAAAACTGTATTTTTCCCAAGCCCCGTTGCCTTTTTACTAGTGCTGTTTGAAATTGTGTTCTAGTCATGCTTTTGTAAAGAAAGAAGCCCCCAGCTGTATTGTTTTATATAAAATGAGGCTCTGCCCACATCCTTCTAGTTACTGCCCATATGCAAGGAAGTTTAAGCCTTAAACAGTCTTAATACTGTGCGTGCCTCCCTTTGTAGAGGGGTGTTGAATGTTGATGTTTGCTTCCCTGAAATTCTGCCTGATGGAAGGTCACTGGCTTCTAACTCTTAGAATGATTAGTGGTGTTTGTGACACTTGCTTAGGGAACTGTCCCTATTCTCCACAGCATAGCAGGTGTAGGGCAGTTGTGCTGTGCATGACCTCATGGAAGCCTCAGTTTTTTGAAATACAAGTATGGGATTTCTTTTCTACTGTAAGGTTGCTTTGGGAAATTATAGAATTTATTAATAAAGTGTGATAATCGTCAATTGCATTTGCAGCAGTTCTTCAAAGTGGACTCTTTCTTTTCTTCTGATGTGGAAGAATTGAAGTAGTTAGATGTTTTAATTGCCATCTCTTTAATTCCTCCAGAAAAAGTTCGGGAAATCCAGGAAAAACTTGAAGCCTTCATAGAAGCCCTCCATCAAGAAAAATAGGTTGTCAAGCAGGTAATGGTGTGCAGGTGATAAAAGAATTATTGCAATTTTTTCACAGTTCAGTATAAAATAATTATTCATGTCTCCTGGATGTATTTGCACACAGACTTTGTGAAAATTCCTTTTTATTCTGTTCCAATGCCTGGCAGCTGCTGCTTGCTTCTAACATGTAAAACTGTACTTTCATATCTGCTTGTAGCATAAAAGCTGAACTTAGTAGGAATACAATTAATGGCTAGTTGTTCAGATTTGGTTACTCTTGGTTCACTGTTTCTTTCTGTGTTAAGAGACAGTCTGTAACGAACTGGAATGAAAATTAAGGCAGCAATTTTCATGCTTGCAAAGCGTTTTGAAATCTTTTCTTTATAGGCATTATATATTGTAAATAAAAATCATATGCACTTAGATCACTCCTAAATCTCGTATCTCAGTATTATTTCTTGAAAACAAAGGCCTAAGGGCTCTGATGTATTTACATGATTTAAAAAATCTCCTCTTTATTTCAGCAGCAACTTAACACAGGAATGCAGACCTTTCGAGGATACCATGCACAAAGAAGACTGAACAAAAATGCTTTCGTGTCCCATTCTGTATCTGACCTTTTGGGGAAGCATTGTGAAACATTAGAGAAAAAAGAAAACGTCTCCTGGGATTGAGAAACTCAATCAAAACCGGCCTGCTTTTTTTAATTTTTGAAGCTACTTGTATGTGACAGAAGAGCCTGATTTGTGTCTTGATGAGATAGCCTGGGAGCTTGCCAGAGTTCTTCATTTAAGAGTTCTTTTTTCCTAATAGGAAAAAATGCTTTTGTTGTTGTCACCTGTCCTGTACAGTGGAGCTGGATCAGGTTCATAAAGGGATTTTATCTGTTGTCGGTTTCTTGGCTGTAAATGCTCTTAAAAGTTTGACATGAAGATTTTGTATTTGTGTGTACATTAAAACACCCTTCAGAGTCATGCCATTTCTCAGTTATGCTCTGTTACTGAAACAGTCTCTGATCACTCTGGTACAGATTTTAAGCATGGTGTTGAGATATTGAGGGGAAATTGTGAATTTTGTTAAACTCAAAACTCTTGAGAGACTTTCAAGGAATTCCAGTGCTTTCAGGTGAAAGTGCAGACTGCTGTTCACTGACACCTTAAAAGGTTTGGCTCAGGAAATGATACCAATGGGGGCTTTTTTTTTTTTACCAGTTCTTTCCTAATTGTTGTTGTCCCTTGGAATCATGGCCGATTACATTTCATTTCTGCCATTGCACAGACTGATTTCCTTTCTAAATCTTCCCTTTTCAGTAGGCACAAAGTAAACTGATTGTGTAAAATAGAGAAAGGTAGCCTTTACAATTCCAACGAGTCCAACCTTTTCAAGTAAAAAAGCAAAAATATAATTACTTTCATGTTTCTAACAGCTGCTGTAAGACCAAAATCGCTTTGATACGAATGCTGCGCACAAAGTCCCTCCGTAACCACGTGGTGTCTGTAATGCAATACAGTAAAAATAAAAACTAAGTACAGTCATTCTTCTCCTGCATTTTAGTCACTTCTGACAAATGTAAGTGTGATATAGGCTCTGTATCATAGGTGCCTGGTGATTAATCACTGTATTTTTCTGCCCACACTTCGCAACAGATGATCTGGATACACTTCTGAATAGATCTGTGGAAGAAGGCATTAGGCTTTACACAGTTTGTTTTGGAGTTGTCTCATTATGAAGGTTGAAAAAATTGGTGTAGGTTTATTTTCCTTTTTGGAAAAGGCAATTGATTTCTGACCTCCTGGCAATTAGAAGAGAGGAGCCTGACTCTGTCATGACAGTTACTGTGCCTGTTTGCTCACAGTGAAAACAATAGAAATTTAGGTAAGGTGTTCTCGGATATTCAGATAATTAAGTACTTAGGCTATTGTATGAAAACTTAACATAGAGGTATTCATAAAAAGTTGAGGAGTTAAATACTGCAAGGTCTCACTGCTTGGGGATTCTTTTTGTTGTTGTTTAAAACTGCTTTTCTGTAAATGAGTTTTTAAGAACGAAAAAATGAAAAAAGGCTTCTATGATCATCATTCTCTGACAATAACTTTAGAGATGTATATTTGCAGTTCTGAAAGAAGATTCCATCGGCTGTACAGCAATTGAAGTAAGTCTGTACTTGCATTAAATGCCTCTTTGTATAAAAAAAAAATACACAAAACTTTTGCATTTACGTCAAGAGATCACTGTCAGAAAATTCCGTGTAATGTAAATGTTGCAAAATATTACATCCAGTGGTCCAGTATTCATCTCTCAGTGTGATGTTCCTGTAGTTCTAGTTCCAACCTCTGTGCTGCTCATCTAAGACTTAGCATGATGTATTCCATGGAAACTAGGTATTTATTGAGTAAAAATGTAACTGAAGGAAAAATAAAATGTGGATTTTGAACACAGTGCTATTGTACCTAAGAGTCATTTGGGCTTTCTTTTTCTCATTTGTTAAACTGTGAAGAAGTATATTGTTATGGTACTAAAACATCTGAGTCAGAAGCGTTGTGTTAGCGCCGAGTTAGTGATAATTATATTAAGTGTTTTATTTCAGTACATGAAATAATGATTACCACTGAGAAATGTTGAAGTAAGGGGTCTGCGAGTTTGACCCAGAACCCCGTGAGTCATTTAAAACTCTCCATTCTTGGTAGAATTTGGTCCTGCAGATGTTCCCAGGGTATTTTTGTCACTGAATGCTGCCATATGAACTCAACCTGTAATGATCTCTCCATATTTTTGCAGAGTGACAGCAGAAATTTTCTTTGAGATGTGTTTCTGGTTTTTTGAGATGCCATAGGAAACATCCCAGTCATGCTTCCTGATGTGGAAGGGATGTACACTGATGAAGATTACAGAAAACAGCAGGTAATAAATTTGCCCTCCCGTATTTACCTTTTGTTTCTACTTCCTTTGAGTGCAGCTTGTTTGAGAACTTCCTTGAATGAAAAGTCAAGTCTGGAGAGAAAGGAGAGATCTGACTAAAAGTCTGATTACAAACTACCCTGGTAGCAGGAACTGGAGTATATCCAGTTATTGCTGTCCCATATATAGACGTGACTGTGGATGTTTGATTTCCAGGCTAGAAAAGCTTTTATGAACACTTTCCTCACCTGGCACTTGTTTTTGTTTATATAAGAAAAATGCACTATAAATCTCTTGCAAGATGGGGTTCTATGTAGTCAGGTAATTTATAGCTGTCATTTGTTAGAAGTCTGTGCTCTATGTACCTTTTACCGCAGAAGTTGTGGGTTTTTTTAATAGGATGAGGCTGTGGTTGAGAAGTTTTTTAGCATTTGAAGAAATGCTAAAAACAGAAACAAAGGGGGGAGACTGAAAGAAAACTGAGATTGCAACAATGGTCCATGCTGTGGTGCTGGCATGGAAAACACATCTCTGTGTACACAAACATTGCTGACTTCTGCCATCACCTCTATGCACACGCCAGAAAGCGAAAATATCCAACTTGTCATTCTGTAAACAAATGCTAAATCACAGGTGTGGTTTTAGACTGCAGAAGTGACTGATGGAATTAGTACTGAAAGTGTTTCTGGAATGGCTCTTGCAACTACTCCTGAATCAACACAGGAAACTGTTCCAGAAACATTTTTAGAACTGACTCTAGGCAGGCTGCCTGCGTTATTGCTGGAAGTTAGAGGAGGGACGTGTCCTAAAGTGGCTCTAGAAGTGATTCTGGCAAGGGGGAGCTGGGTCTGGCAGACAGTGTCACACTGTTTCTGAACTGACTGGTGAGTTTCAGGCATGGTTCTGGAGCTGAATCCAGAACTAAGCCTGCTATTGGCTGCAGGATTCATTCTGGAATTAGATCTGTTGGTGCAGTTCTGCAGCCAATTTCTGCTGAAAATTTGCTTACTGTACATAGCTGCAAACAGTTTGTATTTGCTTTGCAGAACGCTGATACAAGGTCCACGCTGCTGCTAGAGGTAGTCTGTATGGTCTAGGACAGCTTCAGGAGCAGTGCATCCTAATCTGTCAGTGTCACTTTCTGAGACAAAGATGGATTTCACATACTGTGAAATGTGGTGTGTGGTGGTGACAACCAACAAGATGAGCTTTGTTCCGGTTTTTCACCCAAAGAATTTCAATGAGAAGGTTAATCAGTTGGATTAAAGCATCCTTAATTCATGTAAAGACATGATGTACTAATTAAAATGGTATTTTATAAAAGTTTTACAACAGAATACCTAAAATGCAGTAGATGAAGTCAAATACGGTAGATAAGATGAGCCTTTTTAGGTTAGAAATCATTTCACTACAGGAATCATAACCAGAAGTAATTTTCACTTTCAAGAAAGTATCATCCTTGCTAGCCTCACAGAACAGGTGTTAAGCTAACAGCGTGCTCTGTATATTTAAGGATGTCCAAAGCAGTTTTTTGCCTCATCTCCACAAGCCAATTGCCTATGACTTTTAATGCTTAGGGATGAAACCGTTCATTGCAACCTTCCTTACAATGAGCCTGTTCTGGTTCATGTGAAAATCAACACCCTTTTTTGTGTTGCTGCCTGACAGGATGCTACAATACTATTAGCATTTGCAAAGAGTTTGCGTTGTCTAATAGCGCAATCCCCAGATCACAGGCTGCTCAGTTTGTGTTTCTCTATTATGTGAAAGACACAAAGAAGCTGAAGGCTGGCAAAGGCCTGTCAAATCTTGTAATGTAGCAAGCGACCCCAGAGCTTCATTCTGCTTTATATCAACCCTTGTTCCCCATCCCACCCCTTCCCCTGAATGGGCTCTGAGGTAGGTAAATGAATTCAGCAGTATGGTAGGCGGATGATTCCTTTCTGACCTCATTCCTGTACCATTTGTTTCCAGGCTTGTTGGAAGGAAGGGGACGTATCTGAACCTTTTGTTTCAAATAATTTTCTTGCAGGTTGGGGAGTTAATGCAGACCTTGTCTGAACTCACCCAAGTGGAAAGGGTTCTGGGTACGTGTCCTGACGCGCTCAGTCCCTTGGAATTGCCAGATTAAAGGAGAAAGCAGTGAAATTGCATTCTTGTACGTTTGGCATTGCTTAAACACCTGGACACTTTCTTTATGAACATGTTTATATCCTGTTTCGTGCCTTGAAACATCTGTCTTAAGGGCACACAAGAAGCAAACGGAGCACAAGCTTCAGACAGCCCAGTGTTAACACGTTACTGTCAGGAAGAATTTGTTGAGGCTGAGGGAAAAACTGAGTATGGAGTACAGTAAGCAACAGTTTGCAAAGGGCTGTTTCAGACTGATGTGTGAATTTGGCAGAGCACTTCTTAGGTTTGCAAAGTTGGTTTGTTTAGGGATTTGACCTTGGTTTGTGTGTTTGATGACGAGGAAAGCAATGGTTTTCCACATACCAGGACTGAATTCTAGGAGCAGTGAGTCCTTCAACACCAGATCTTCCAGCACTTGCATCCTTCTCTACAGTGCGTCCTTCTGTAGAAGGAAAAATAGAGGAATGTGACCAGCAGTAAAACATGATAGCAATATCATCACAGCTATCCTGCTCAGGTGTCAGTTTACCCTCTGCACAGTCACTGCTATGGTGTTTGGGGGGTCATTCTTATATGAAAAGTAACGGATTTCTGAAGTTGTCAACTATAACACAGAAATATTACTCCCTCAAGTGTACGCAGTAAGTTTACAGCATCTGGAGTGTGAAATCATAATTGAATCATAACAGGAAAAGATTTCACGCTCAGTATTCAAGGAAGTATTCCACTAAAGAGAAACGTCGTGGATGATTTAACTGCAATGGCAGCATACATCTTTGGCAGGTGAATGGGTGATGCACGATGACCTCCATGTACTTATTCCAGTAGGAATTCAGTGAGGGGCCTGTTTATGATTTGAGCTCACCGCTTCGTATGGCAGGCGTGCTTTGCAGAAGGCTTCCACAAACTGAATCAGACACAGAGACAAATCTGCAATAACTTCATCTAGTCTGGTGTTGCAGCTGATGTGAAAAATACAAACAGAAAGGGAATTAAAGGGGTCAGTCACAACCCAGGTAGGAGTGCTTCCTTAAAGCCAGAGATGTATTAAGGATTTTATATTGGTGGAATGTAGCTTGACGGTACAGACAGAGGGATGTTTATCTTATTCTCGTGCATGTTAGCAGGTTTTCCATGTGTTTTTGTAGACCTTCTTGATTATGACATTTTATGTTACAATTTGTGTTAAGCTTGAAAAGTAAACTTCCTGCGCTGATTCGGGGCATCCCCAAAACAAGCTCTTTACCCACATTTCACTTGTGACTCTTCTGTGACGTGTTTACATATCTCAGGTGGAAGATGAGCTCATCTAACAGCTGTAATCTCAAACACACTGAACCTGAAGCTATTTGCATGTGCAAATTATCTTTGTAGTTTAAGATTAATTACGGACTAAATGTTTCAGCTAAACAGAATTGTTCCCTGCCCACCCCAACTGCTATTATTAAAGGAGTTAATACTTTTACAGGGCTCTACTGCTGGTGGTATGTAGCTCTGTGTATTTACTCACCAAGCATGAATATTGATGATATAAAGCCCTTAAAATAAAAAATCCTCCACTGGTAACAAGAAAGGCTATTACTTCTGTTCTTATCATGTAACACCTCTAAGAAGTGGACAAAAGACCAGTTTTTGTCCTGGCCTTTATCTGGCAGCTCTGATCAATTAGATCTTTTTGCAAGGCAGATTTTTTTAAGCTATTGGATATTTATGTTGAAAGAAAACAGTTCTCCATTGCCTAGAGCCTGAACTTTAGAATTCAGCCAGGCTTCCGGCAGCACAGGCAGCAGTGGGTTATCCTGTGAAGGTTCATCTCTGTACCCTGCTTTGTGACATGATTTCATACACCATTTGCTTTTCTTGCCAGCACAGCCTCCTTCCCCGTCTTCCTCGGCCATACGCAAACGGCTCCCACACCAGGTGACTCTGGGCTGTGATGCGTTGAAGGTCAGATGAGATTTTCACAGTAAAGCCACCTGGCTTGAAATATGTCCGCAGTATAATTAATTCATGCAACTACTCACGTCCCTTTTTGGGGTAGTTTCTTGCATCTTGATTTTAACTCAAGTGTGTAGCACAAACGTTATGAATATACCTGTATTTCAGCATACATATTAGGTATTATCATACTTAGGCAACCTCAGAAATTGGGACTTACTGCCTGCTCTATGCATATCCCAGAACAGAATTCATTCGTGTTCAATCTAATTTGAAAGACAAGTGTAATTAATGAAGAGTAGCAAAGAAGCATTGGAGACTGCTTGGTGATAAGAGGCTGTTTTCACATGGAAACAAGGGAATATTCAGCCACTTGCTGAAGCTTAGGACAACGCTGGGATCATCACAGAAATTGAGCTTTGTGATGAAAAGATTTGCAGCCTGTTGGGCCAAGAGAAAGGATTATAAGAATATTCATGA